GTAGCTCTGCAGGGGTTGCAGGCCCCTCTTTGTGTTCAGTCATTTGCTAAGTCATACTTAGATCAGCAAACCTTCAAGCCAGTCCTGGCCTTAGATAAGCAAACCTTCAAGCCATTCCTGGCCTTATTCTTTAATTCAATCCCCCCTTTTCTTTAAGCTATTGCAAATTCTTTTGCATAATTTTGTTTACAGCCCATAATACATGTACTTGTTGAGCAACAGTCCGTACTTTCCACCATAACCAAATGTTGAGAAGTGTTAGCAGTAGGGCTACAAAAATCAACACTAGTACAGGATGCAATAAGAAGTTGAAAAACTGAGCAGCAGTTGGAGATTTTAGTGAGGTATTTAAAAAAATGTCCCACCAATGGTGTTCACCAGTTTTCTCGATGGCTGTGATGATTTTCTTTATTTCCAGAGTATTGTGCTGGACTTGCCATAATGTTTGTTTCGAAGCTTCCTTCATCTTCTTTAGCAACATTTTAATGTCTGGGTGGGAAAGCATTTTCTTAAGGACATTAATGTCCATTCCAATCTGTAGTTTAGGTACATCATTGTATAGCATGAAATTACCCATATCAAATTTACATGCTATACAACCAAGCTGTTCTCTCTTATTTCAAAAGACAGTATTTGTCGTGAATTTCCCCAATCTCTTCTAATCTGACCATCAATTTTTAAAACTGTGTATACCTTAGTCTTCTTATATGTGATATTCAAACCTGCATTGCCCAAATATCCATTCCTGGTCCAGTCTTCAGGGTCAGGGACATCATCTAGATCTTGATGGGTGGTGCAGTTCTCTGTCCATCCAGCTGTGATGTAGAAGATCATAATAATGATTTCCAGAATCGCAGTTTCGCTGATCCAGTACATTCGGAGGTCCATCTCTGCTCAAGTCGGGATCTTCCTTAAGACTCGAAGCCGTCTTTTGTAATCTTAGTTTTAAGGGTCCTAAAGGTTTCAGAAGTCCATTGCTTGTCTGGAGCTTTTTCTCACTCGAGAGTAGTGAATCCAGGAGGACAGTTCCTTCACTTTGATTGCAGTGAAAGTGGTCAATAGCACTTGGAATGGTTCGTTCCACTTCTCTTCCAGTGGATTACCTGAGAAATTCTTGATATAAACCCAATTTCCAGGAGTAAAGGGATGGATAGGATGATCCAATCCCTTAACTCTGTTTCCTAGGACAGTCTTATTGATTTTCTCTAATTGTTTTCCCAAATAAATAACATAATTTTGTAAATAGGAATTACCCAACTGATTTAAATCTTCCCCTTTATATTTTGTCTGGTATGGTCTCCCATAGAATATTTCAAAAGGGCTTAGGTTCTCTTTAGCTCTTGGCTTTACTCGTAGTCTAAGCAGAGCTATGGGTAATGCTTGATACCAATACAAATCTGCTTCTTGACATATTTTGGCTATCTGCTGTTTTATCATGTGATTCATTTTTTCTACTTGCCCCCTGGCCTGCGGCCTATATGGGATGTGTAACTGCCAATCAATTCCCAATAGTTTGCCAACTTGTTGCACTATTTGTGCACAGAAGTGAGTACCTCCATCTGATAAGATGACTATAGGTACTCCAAATCGAGGTATTATCTCGTTCAATAACACTTTAGTCACTTCTCTTGCCTGGTTTGTTCTACAGGGAAAAGCCTCTGGCCATCCAGAAAAGGTGTCTGTAAGCACCAATAAGTACTTATACCCCCCTTTTCTTGGGAGTTCGGAAAAATCAATTTGCCAATGGTCTCCTGGTACGTTTCCTTTTAAGGAAAAATTAAGGCTAGAATTTGTTCTTTCTGTATTCTTTCTGCTGCCTGTTTAGCCTCATAATCAGCCAATCTGTTACCTCTTTCTTGGTCAGTGTTACCCCTCAGATGTCCTCGACAATGCATAATGGCGACGTTAGCTGGTAACCGTCTTGCCTCCAGTAGACGAAGTATTTCTTCTGCATGTTTGATTTGTTTTCCTTGCGCAGTAAGCAATCCTCGTTCCTTCCAGACTGCTCCATGGGCATGAACAACCCCAAAAGCATATTTAGAGTCTGTCCATATATTTATCCTTTTCCCTTTTGCCAATTCCAAAGCTCTAGTTAAAGCAATAATCTCAGCCTTTTGAGCTGACGTCCCAGTAGGCAGTGGTTGGGATTCAATTACCTTATTTGTTGTGGTCACCGCATATCCAGCTTTATGGATACCTTGTCGGACAAAGCTACTTCCATCCGTAAACCAGGAATCCTGTGCGTCCTCCAGGGGTTCTTCTTTCAGGTCTGGTCTGCTGGAGTACACAGTCTCTATTGTTTCCAAACAGTCATGTGTCAGTGGTTCAGTTGTTGCTCCACTAAGGAAAGAGGCTGGGTTCACAACGTTAGTCACTTCAATTTTAATGTCATCCGATTCAACAAGGATGGCCTGGTATTTCAAAAACCTGGATGGGGAAAGCCAGTGATTCCCTTTTTGTTCTAATACAGCGGATACCGTATGTGAAACCAACACTGTCATCTTCTGGCCCAAAGTAAATTTCTGGGCTTCCTCAATATTTAGTATTACGGCCACTACCGCTCGTAAACATCCTGGCCATCCTTTACTTACTTCATCTAATTGTTTGGAGAAGTAAGCTACGGCTCTTTTGTATGGTCCCAGTCGCTGAGCTAAAACTCCTAGAGCTATTCCTTGTTTCTCGTGAGAAAAGAGCCAGAAAGGTTTGGTTACATCAGGCAAGCCCAAGGCTGGGGCTCTCATGAGTTCCTTTTTAAGTATTTCAAATGCGTTCTGAGCTTCTTTGGACCATATCAATCCAGTGGGATTATTTTTCAAGAGTTCATATAAAGGTTTTATTATTCCGTAGTTATAAATCCATAATTGACACCAACCTGTCATTCCCAAGAAGGTTCTGAGTTCTTTTACCGTCTGAGGAAGTGGGGTTTTACAGATGGCTTCCTTTCGTCCAGTTCCCAACTCCCGTTGTCCTCCAGATAATTCATGTCCCAGGTAGGTCACTTGCTGTTGTATCATTTGAATTTTCTGTTGAGAGACTCGATATCCATTTAGTCCAAGAAAGTTTAACAAGCTCACAGTCCATTGGAATGAGGCTTCCATGCCTCAAGCTCACGTGCTAATTGATTTTTGAAAATTGTTGGACTGTTTTTGAAACCTTGGGGTAACACTGTCCAAGTAAGCTGGGTTTTCCTACCAGTGGTAGGGCTTTCCCATTCAAAAGCAAACAACTTTTGACTTTCTTTAGCCAAAGGCAGACAAAAGAATGCATCTTTTAGGTCTAGTACTGTAATCCGATCTGTTTTCCTAATTTAAATCTAAGGGGTTCCAAAAAGAACGCCTTTCTCTGCTGGCCAGTGGCTCCTATCACATTTACAAAATCCTTGCTTACAGGCATTACTTCTTGATTTAAAACAGAGAAAGAGGCACCTGTATCTATAAAAAATTCAACTTCTTTCTCTTGTTCCCCTAGCTTTATTTTGACCAGTGGATCTGCTAGGGTAGATGCCTCAGGTCCCCATCAATCAGTCCCTGTTTCAGCTATCAGGGCAGGTGGGGTATTTTTAAACTCAGGGCATTCATTTTTCCAGTGTCCTTTTTCCAGCAATATGCACATTGATTCCGCTCCAATACATTTCCAACATTAACACCTCTACCTCTTGCCAAATTCCTTAGTCCTCCTCTAGTCCCAAAAGGCATCCCTCTTCCAGGTCCTCTAAATCCCCTATCCACATCTTCCCGATTTCCAAAAACTCTCCAGGCTTCTTCAAGTAATTTCTCCAGATCCCTTATCTCTGGTTCTTGCAGTAACTGGAGTAAAAGCAGTTGCCGCTCCCCCTTCTTCCTCACCGCTGCCGCCACCCTCTGTCTCAGGGAATGGCGACTGGGGTGGAGAAAGCGGATCTGGCAATGGAGGGGGGGGCATTCCCAAATCCTCAAGCTGATCCTCTGTTTCCTCTTTACTCTTCCTGGATTCTGTTACTTTTAAACACCTTTGTCCAATACTACATGCCGAGCAACACCTCTTCATTTTCTGCTGCCCCTTCCTTTTATCGTTGTGTCCTTTCTCGAGGGACAAAACTAGAGGGTCTTGTGGCAGCACACCAAATCCACAGTCCCTTTGCCACTCAGGACGACCTCACAAAGTGAAAAACATATCCGCATACATAACCTCATCCCATTTTCCTTCTCTCCGTAAGAACAACATCAATTGCAACATAGTATTATAGTTCAGAGTCCCATTAAAGGGCCACTTTTCTCCATCATCTAATTTATATAAGGGCCACCATTAATTACAATATTTTATCAAAGTTTTCTTATTCACATTCCCACCTGACGGTCCTTCTATATTTTTCCAATGTTTTAAAATACATCCTATAGGACTCTTTTTCACAATTCCGCCACTTTGCTGTCCTCCCATCTTTATTAATTTAACTCCCCACACAGTACAGTTAGAGGATAAAATTATCTCCCTAATGTTCCTCCCACTGCATCCACAGCTGACAATTAGGGCACTCAAAATCAGTACAATCTGGATTAGACCCAAACCAATGAGCATAAAATATCTTAAAACAATTTTAACATTCAACACTTATTGCTTGCTTTACACCCGTTATGGAGGGAACAATATTCATTTACATGACCGGTCACATTTATCTGACAAACAAAATACACTCACTTCGTTCGTCTCCGGCCGCACCCCTCGCGGGATAACGGAACCGCGGATCAGAACTCCGCACTCGCTTCGCAGCTGCGCCGCGTCTCAGTCACTCAAATCATACATACAGGAGCTAGCTCAATTCATTCACACACCTTTTATCAAATCCAAATCAGCTTTCAATAAACAATTCCTTTAAACAGTTCCAGTTTCAATACCGATAAGTTACTACCACCACAATGTACGTTATTGCAAAAGTACCTAGCTCGCGACTTACTCGCGACTGTACCCAACGTACTAAAACCAAGTGTATGGAATACAAAAGTACGAAACACAGCATGTGTTCATACCCACATACACAAACCAAACCAAGTGCACGAAATACAAAAGTACAAAGCACAGCATGTGCCTATACCCGCGTACACAACCCAAACCAAATGTACGTATTGCAAAAGAACGCAGCACAACCTGAGTTGCGCAGCAGAACTCACGTACACAGTATGCCCTCAGGCACTAGTAGCCTGGCATACAGCGCCCTGCGTAGGACGTCTCCTACGACTTATGGGAACCCCAAATGACCGGTCCCAAATACCAAAACCATTTCTTTTTTGTCTTTTTTTTTTTTTTTTTTTAAATTTTTAAAAGAATACCTTATTTTCTAGACGGTCCTTGTCTGCTCCCGCAGTGATCCGTATGAGGCGAGGAGTCCCTCCGGGAAGGTCCCGGGGGTACCCTAGGGAGTCCTGTTCTCAGCGGGTCCTGCAGCTGAGCAGAGAGGGTCCCATCTGGGGTGCCAGAATTGATGCCGTGAAAGACGAAATCAGGACTCAATAGCCGGGATGACTATTAAGCAGGTATTCTTTATTGCAGCGCTGGACGCACAGGGGATCGCTCCTCCAAATGTGCGTGCCAGACGGAGTCAGTTTGACAACATATATGCATACATACATACATATTCATGTAAGGTGTTTTAACATATTCATTAGTTTCCAGTAATTCATTACCATACGCTACCTCCTTCTTGGAGTTCTCCATTTGTCAGAGATAAGATAACATTGTGCTGGCCTCATGATTGTTGTTGCCTACGTGCCAGCCTTCCTGTCTTGTTACTTATCGTAGCTCTGCAGGGGTTGTAGGCCCCTCTCTGTGGTCAGTCAGGCTACATTTGCTAAGTCATACTTAGGTAAGCAAACCTTCAAGCCATTCCTGGCCTTATTCTTTAATTCATTACCTAGCCTCAATTTTTATGCTGGAAGCCAACATATACCATAAAGCTGCATGTTTTCTTTTGGAAAAGACTAATAACCTTAACCTTGAGCAACAGATCTCTGTCTACAAAGCAAAACATAGCTAACAAGAACAAAAATCTCTGAATATGTTTGGGTAATCTCTAATGTAGAGCAATGAAAGCAGATCTCATGAGATGAGTCCTTCTAAAAGCAACAGATTCTGCAAAGCAAACTGTTTCATTTTAATAACGGCCTCAGACCAAACTTTTAAAGCTGTAGTCCCTCTCCACGAGGCAATTCCTTCCTCTTCTACAGGTTTCCTCCTGTGGTTTCACACAGCAGAGCTCTAAGGAGGAGGAACTGTCTGTGTCCTCTTGCCAAGCCTGGAGTGAGTTTTCTTCTCACTATATTCTGCGGTGCCTTTTCCTAAAGACACCACAGAAGCTGTTTCTGTTTCTACATATATCCAACACATACAAATATATTTGCTGTTGACTACAAGCTTCTCAGCCTACCCCACTCCTTCCTAGATTAATTTTCTAGGCATTTCCCTACAATTAAACCTTGCTACTGTGAATCCAACATAAGCCTTATTTTGTTATTTTCCACCTTTTTTCCCTGCCTTAAACTTCACATATCTTTCATGTTACTACTTCTGGGAATAATGACTCTCTGTATAGCAACAGTTGCTGTTTCATTAGCAACCTGCTTACACCTGTGACATGGTTAAGGAAGGTGTTTTAAGTAAGATGCTATTAAACATAAACTCTCTTGATATTTCTGTTGAACAATACCCCAAGCCCAACATATTTCTATATTTATCCTCTCCATTTCGCCTGTGAACCTAAAGAAAAACAGGTGAAAATGTGTATGTTCAAGCCTGTTCCTTACTTGTAGAAAATATATATGCTTGCTAAGTTAAGTGAGAGATCTCCTTTGTTATGTTAATGTAAATATTGTAACTATTGAATTATGCAATTTTCACCTTTTTATCCTTAATGACTGATTTCACAGTAGAGTTCTCCAGGAAACCTCCAAGCTTTGTCTGCCAGTGAACTAAGCATCTGGCAGAGACTTTGGGGTATGGCTTTGACCCAGTTAATTAAATGGATAATTTCCATGGAGCTACAGAAAAAACAACCTTACACTTACATATTGACTTGTACTGTACAGTTTCTGCTCTTCCCTTGTCTCATCTCTCAATCAACTTTCCTCCCAGAGAAGTACAAAAGGATGTGCAAGAATCCAGACTTTTGCCTCCGTCACTCCTTTTTCTTGCTGGAACAGCCAAGAAAATATAGATATGATCCTTCTGGGTGTTCAGATACCCTTCACCATTCCACACCAAACACCACACCTGCCAATACATTTTATCCTTTGAAAGCATACACAGTTGTGTAGGAAATGTGATGTCTGGGCCCTAGGCCAATGTATCCAACTCATCCAGGATGCTAAACCTGCACTAAGGCTAAACAACCTTTGGTTTGTCTCTATCTTCTTCTAGGGTCCCCTGAATCCTTGAAACAACTGTTATATGCACGTTTTTGGGGGGGTTTTTCAACATTCTTGGTCCCTCAGTTTGAGGCTAGGATTTCAGGGAGCACAGGATAAACTCAATTCTGGTTGTCTCTCCTAGAACAGAGGCAGTGACTAAAAACACTGCTCTTTGGGAACATAGTATAAAAGCTTCACTAACATCCCACTTCCTCCCCTGGAAACAATTTCATCTAATAACTAAGGGAGACAGGACTTGTTTATTACAGATTTCTCAACAAACCTTTTATTTTTACTTTAATGCTTTGAGCTAAGACAGGTCATTCATTCATGTTGTCTGCTCCCAAGAGCCACAAAGATGGATTGTTTTCACACTTTTAAATGAGAATACTATACCAGAAAAATAGTAGAGCCAGTTACATTTTGGCATCCATCAAACTAATGGGGAATAATTCAGAACAAGGTAATATACTTGCAGACTGGGAACATGTTACTAAATTAAATTAATCCAGAGGGTTTTTGCTCTAATTCTTCCAGAGTTTTTCACTTGTGAGCACACGTGGATATGGAGTTACCAACATTTCTTTCTCCCTCCCAATGCTCATCCTCTTTCTTTGACTGATTGTTCTTACCCTGTGAGAAGCTCTTGCCTTTTTCACTTCCCTCTGAATGTTACTAACATTGACATATTTTGAATATGTGACATGTTCAAGCTGACATTCTATATTAAAGGGGCTCATTTATCCTCTTTGTTCCAGCACCAGTTAACTGGCTTCATTAGAAAACAAAGACAGACAGACAAGCCATGCTGACACTTTTGTTCCCTGTTCCTTCTCACCACCCTGACAGCAGAAATTCAGGAGAACAGGATTCAAAATTTACTCTTCTGCCTGTGAAGGGAGTTTGGAAAATGACTGGAGAGAAAGCATCGTCTGTTCATCCTTCCCTAGATCTGCTGGGGACCATCCGGAGAAAACTAACATTACAAGCAAGCAGTATGATCTGATCAGCAGAATCAAAGTCATTAAAGCTTAAATGCCTTCCATGAAGGAGAAGAAAGGTCTCTCCTTTGACTAACTGCAACAAGTAGTTCTCAAAGCAGCATATAGTTACTTCATCCAGATTTTCTACAGATGTGTGGCCTATGTGCCCTGGGCATCTTCACTTGCTCCCAAGGCTCCTCTCCAGGGATGTCTTCCAGTTTCTTGCTCAGCAGGATAACCAGTCAGCCTCCCAACATTTCTGAGCAGGAGTTAGCAAGTGTTGATGTGTCTCCAGCCTGATTGGTCAGAAAAAGGCAGGTATCAACCTCTGTGTTGCCTGTGCTTCACCGGTGCTACTAATTTGGGCCTCCCCTCCACAATCTGTCAATTTTCAACCTGTAATTTAATACGGAAAAAACTTAACATCCTCAAGACTCCCATATCTTTTGTCAAGTTTGGCTGAAACTAGCTGGCTTTCACAGGGATATGTAAAACTGAGAAAGAAGCTTTGGTCCTTAAGGAAAGCAGTAAGGGTTACACCTTTCTTCTAGTCAGCCATGCTGGTTAAGATTCACTTATGCATTGTTTACAGTATCACCTAAATTTGAATTCATCTGTTCCCACTGAATTATATCCCCTGCTTGTCTGCTCTTTGTTTACAGTAAACATTCCTTTAACAAAGCATTTGTATTCTCGTCATCTTGTGAGTTATGCTGGTTTTTCCTTCACATTCTGCAAAATACTATATTCCCACAACAGCCCCTAATATGTACCATGTGTATCAGGACAAAATTCCCAGAGGCTAGTAGCTCATTCAACTTGTGAGAGTTTCCTTGGCACCTACAAATTTTTCCTTGGTTGAGTCAGCTGTTGCAGTAAATTAAGAATACATTTAACCCCTTGGACCTTGAAGTTAGGCCACAGCTAGAAAAACGCAGCTGTAGAAAGGCATGTGGACACAGATTATTTTTGTTACTCAAGTATCCTCCAACTGAAAATTTCAGTGTAATGTCTTGTACTACTAGTTTGCACGAGTAGCTGCAGAAACAATAATTACATTAAGACCTATTACGTGAAAGAAGTTGTGTACTATTCAGTGTATTGTCCCAGGCCACGGTCATTCTGACCTTTTTAAAAGTTTATTCATTCATCCTCTTACCAGTAACATGACTGACAGTATAAAGAAAGCTTCTTTCCAACTCAAGCTAATAGAAGCTTGAAATAGGAAGCTGTTATTTAGAAGAGATTAAAAACTCCTTTTGGGAAACTTTATGATGTCCCCTGCTGAAAATATGCTGCTTTACCGAATTCCATGTGTTTTGTTTTCTCCAACACAGTATCTTAAGTCTACCCTAGACACTTAAGTATAATACAGTACCTCAAATACTTATTTTTGTGGTTTTGGATCATGAGCAAACTATGAGCAACTCTCTGTGAAGCTTGAGGATTTTCCATGACAGTATTTTCTGCTCCCCGTATTACTGTTCTTCTATATAGTACACATATCATCATCACTTCTCCTTATCTGCACATATCCCATTGAGTTCAGAGTCACCACTGTCCTATTTTATAGGATCCCAAGTACAGTGTAGTCTCTCTTTCTCCCTGTAAGTTTCTCAATATATAAAAAAACTTGTATTTGCAGCTTATTCAAAATAAGTTCTTTGCACTAAGGATCCTCACTCTGAAATACTGTAGCTGCAGATATCTATTGTAGGCATCTCTGAAATAAAATGCAGAGGCAAGAAATCTTGTTTTTCTGAACTGTTTGCTGAAGAAGTGTAATCCTCTCTGCCTACTTCATACTAGAGTGTCCAACAGAACCAATTTCCTGTTCAGTAATTTTACTTTTTAGCTAAACCTCTTCTAGCTCTCCAAAATTAAAAGCATATTGTGCAGAAACTGCTCAGCCTCAAAGTGATAAGACCTATGTTTATAGTGAATACCAAGGAATGGTATGCAGAGAGGCTCTTTCTTATACTTACTGCTATAACAACCAAGGTCAGCTAACTTTTTTATGTACCACGTTGGAAGCAGAAGAGCGTGAAGGGGTCACACCTGTAGGGAGGAGCAATCAGAAGGGGTGACCCAGAACTGACCAACAGGGTATTCCATCCCATCTGTCCCATGCTCAGTATAAAAGCTGAGAGATCAAAGGGGCCAGAACTCTTTCTTCAACGGTTGGGGTTCAAGTAGGACTCTGTCTATTCATCTGCCTTTGATCCCAATCTGTGTGTTCCCGACTCCAGATCCAAAATCCAGCTCCCATCTGTTGCCAAGACCAGCCTAGGACTTTCCCAGGGCTTGCTGGTGATGTGATCATCTTCCTGGGAGCTTGATACAGTTGTGTATATATCGTATACTTTTCATTATTTCCTTTTTATTATTTTATTAATATTTTCATTAAAGTAGTTTAGTTCCTTCTAAACTCAAATATCTTTTTTTCCTATTAAAAAAAGCAGCAACCAAAAACAAGCAAAAAAACCCAACCCCAACTAAAACACAACACATAAAAAAAGGGTC